GCACCCGGGTCTCGAACTGCTGAACTACTGACTTTCCACAGCGTCTTAACCACTTGAGCCACCGCAGCTCCTTAAAAGTATTATTACTCACATGCTAACTGAGTCCCATCTCTCTCCATGACTTAGATATGTAGAAGAGAAACTCTCTACAATGGGAATATCCCCAGATTATTTAGCCCCCTTTTCAGATAAACAAGCCTATGCTATCATTAAACAAAGATTTCTCGACATCGAAAGGCAAGAATTTATGGATCGTGCAGCAGCCAGCAGATGCTCCCCAAGTAGGCTGGGGACTTTTGACACGGGACCTACTGCAAAATATCTGTTTAGTTTAATAGACCCACATCATCGCAGAGCATACATGCTTGCACGCTTTAATGTTCTCCCATCAGAGGTGCTTTTAGGGAGGTACTGCCAGATACCATATGTAGACAGACTTTCTCCTTGTTATCTAAAAGCAGCCAGCAGATGCTCCCCAAGTAGGCTGGGGACTTTTGACACGGGATCTACTGCAAAATATCCACTACACACTATCCACTACGCACACCATACTTCATTGCCCCCTCTATAGGGATATCCAATCTTGTTTTATTACTCCTTTTCTAGAGGGTAAGAGCTGGCATTCTGATGACACAGTGGTTCACTTTCTTCTGTTTAATTCTAATTGTGAAATCATGGAGGCTGTTGCAAAATTCTTATATTATGCAAGCAGAAGACGAGGCTTAAATAGCCAAGTGTAAGTGACTGATGCATCTTAGTATTTTCCCGTATTTCCATGAATTAGGCAAGTGAGAGTAAGATCTTATCTAGACATTTTAGGGAGAGAGGATATCCCTCTGAAATTATCAGTAAGGCCTGTCTGCGAGTTAATGAATTGGATAGGAAATCTTTAATGATTGATCAAAAAAAGACACCAAGCAATAGGTTGTTTTGGGTTCTTGATTTTACTTCAGCGGCCAATCAGGTACGGCGTACCATATTAAAACATTGGCATTGGCATTTGTTACAAGAAGTCCTTGGGTGTCAGCTACGCCCATTTGTAGGGTTTGGGAGAACTCAAAATATTAAAGACATTATTATAAGATCAGACATTAGGTGCCAGCCCCAGTCCAACTCATTACCCATAGGACACTACAAATGTGGGAATTGTAAAGTTTGTTTTCAGGCATTGGAAGGGTCTGAGATTGATGTTCCAGAGAGACATATTCATGTCACTTTAAAACATTTTAGTACTTGTAAAACTTCAAACACTGTGTACCTAAAATGTCCAAAGTTATATGTCGGGAGTACAAATCGCCCCATGAAAGTGCATATATTAGAACACCATTCTTGCCTTAATTAAAAATGCTAGATGAGCCTTTGGTCAGCCATTTTCAAGAATTTAAACATGCTGTTAATGATTTTCAATTTTCAGTTCTTTGTTTCTTTTTTTAAACTTTTTTATTGCTTTTATACTACAAACTACAAAGGGAGGGGAAATAGGGGAATACTAAACTAAGATACAGAGTTATGCAAGGATCATATAATACGAATTATACAAAAATTGTATCTAAGACTTGGAGTTTCCCCCACATTTAAGCTTTTAAGAATAAGGGTTAACGCTTATTGTTACAAAAACAAACTAGTGCAAGGATATTTAGCCTGAGTAAGTACATCTTAGCTCTTTGAATGCTAGTAAAGTCAAACTTTCAGTATTAAGCTGTTCGTCCTAAGTAACACCCAAGATCTGGTGTAGGGCTGCCAAGTGGGGGCGGGTGGCGGGTAAACCCCCGCTTTGGAGGCCCAATTTCCTCTGTCGCCGCGGAATCGGGCCCCGGGGGGAACTCTGCCCCCGAAGCGCAGCGTGGCTGCGTCACCAGAGGTGACGCAACCACGTTGATCGGGTTGGGGGCATGGCCCCAGTCGTCGGAGGGAAAACTCTATGGTTTTCCCTCCAACTATCGGGGCCACACCCTCAACGTGATTGACGTCACGTGTCACTTCCGGTGACGTGCTGGTGGTGCGCGTGTGCTTCGCATGCGGACGACGAGGGACGGCTCCCGGAGGCGAGGCTCCCCCGCCGGTGAGTAAAATTCACTTGGCAACCCTAATCTGGTGAGAGATGTAAAAGTGATTCCACCACTTAGGAACAGTGACCATAAAGATATTGAGTTCAACATTTGTATAAATAGGGAGTTGTCCAAAGAGACTGACACAACCACTTTTAACTTTAAAAGGGGTAACTTCTCTGATATGAGGGGACATGTGAGGAAGAAACTGAAAGGAAAAGTAGAAAGGGTCAAAACCATTGGGGAAGCTTGGAGACTATTTAAAACTACAATCCTAGAAGCTCAGAAAAAATATATACCACAGGCAGTGTTCCCTCTAAGCTGAGTCAGTGTGAGCTAGCTCATAGTTTTTTAGCCTCCGGCTCACATATTTTTGTCTT